AACGCCTTCACTTTAGGGCAGGTCCACCAGAGGTGAAAGAACGTTCCTTCACACTCTTTACATTTCCAGCACTTGTTATCAGACAGGTGGTAAATTTTTGCAAGTTTGACTGGGGTCATATACCATCTATAAATCATTTTCATTACATTTTCTTTCAAAGCATTACATGCAGTAAATTTCAATCCATTACTCCACAGCCTTTCCCAGTCCTCAAACATAATATTATGCCCAATATCCTGTGCCCACCTTATCATAGCCGATTTAACCATTTCATCTTGTGTATTCCATTCCAACAGCAAGTTATACATCCTTGAAAGTATCTTAGTCTTTGGTTCTAACAATTCTGTTTCTAATTTCGATTTCTCCACCTGGAACCCTAGTTTCTTATCATTTTTAAAAACTTCTTTAATCTGAGCATAATGTAACCAATCTCGCACTTTGTCTTTCATTTTCTCCAAACTCTGCAATTTCCAATTGTCTCCATCTTTTTCTAGTATTTCCCAATATTTTGGCCATTTGGCCTCCATATTGGGTCTTTTTCGGGCCTTAGCTTCCAAAGGTGAAAGCCACCTTGGTGTTTTATTTTCCAGCAAGTCTTTATATTTTGTCCAGACATTAAACAGTGATTTTCTAACAATATGGTTCTTAAAGGCCTTATTTGCTTTAACTTTGTCATACCATAAATATGCATGCCATCCAAAAACATTGTTAAACCCTTCCAAATCTAACACATCAGTGTCTTCAAGAAGTAGCCAATCTTTTAGCCAGCAGAACGCTGCGGCTTCGTAATACAACTTTAAGTCCGGCAGGGCAAAGCCCCTCTTTGTTTTGCATCAGTTAGTATCTTAAACTTAATTCTGGGCTTTTTGCCCTGCCAGACAAACTTCGAAATGTCTCTCTGCCACTTCTGAAAGCACTCCATTTTGTCCAAAACCTGAAGTGTTTGAAATAAAAACAACATTCTTGGCAATACATTCATCTTAATCGCAGCAATTCGGCCTAACAAAGAAAGTTTCAATTTTGACCAACTGTCTAAGTCTCTCTTAATTTCTGTCCAACATTTTTCATAGTTATCCTTAAATAGACTTAGATTTTTGCTGTTATGTTTACCCCTAGGTATTTTACTTTTTAACCACATTAAGTTCCGTCTCATTCTGAAACCGTTCTGACTCTGTCTCAGTCAAATTTTTCCCAAAACCTTGGTTTTCTGTTTATTTAATTTAAATCCCGCCACCCGACCAAAATCATTAATCAATTGTAATACTCTTTTCGTACTAGGCTCTGGCTTCTGCAAGGTCAAAACCAGGTCATCTGCAAAAGCTTTTAGTTTATATTGTTTCTGACCAACCTGAATTCCTTCCACCAACTGGTCCCCTCTAATCATGTTCAATAGCACTTCCAGAACCGAAATAAATAACAAAGGGGAGATAGGGCAGCCTTGTCGTGTCCCTTTTTCAATTTTGAACTCTTCTGTAACCACATTATTAACTATCAGTTTAGCTTTCTGTTCTGAATATATCGCCTCAATCCCATTCTCAAAACCCCGTCCCACTCCCATCTCTTTTAAGTTTCCCATCATAAATTTCCAAGAAATATTATCAAAGGCCTTCTCCGCATCTATAAAAATTAAAACTGCTTTTGTATTTATGTCAGTTTGGAGAAGTTCCAAGATATCAATAATGTTCCTTGTGTTAGCAAACAGATGTCTACCTGGGAGAAAACCGGCCTGGTCCTTATGAATTACTTCATTTAAAACTTTTTAAATCTACTTGCCAAAATATCTGCAAATATTTTGTAATCCACATTTAAAAGGGAGATGGGACGGTAGTTCTTCAGTTGTGTCTTTTCAGCTTCTGACTTTGGTATCAATGTGATAAACGCTTCCTTCCACGAATCCGGTGCCCTCTTCCCCTCCATAATTTCATTGCTAACCTCCATCAAGGGTTGTATCAAATAGTCTTTTAGTGTCTTATAATACTTGGAGGTCAGCCCGTCTGGCCCTGGAGATTTGCCAAGTTGCATGTTCTGAATAGCTTGTTCAATCTCCTGTCGTGTTATTTTAGAGTTCAGGGTTGTCCTATTTTCTTGTGACAGTTTAGATAATCCATTTTTGGCAAAAATTGTTTAATCTCGACTTCGTCTTGCGGCCCTTGGGTATATAGTTTTTAAAATATCTCTGGAAACACTTTCTAATGTCCACTGGATTCTGAATGTTTCTTCCATCGACCTCTAAATTTGTAACCGTATTTAATCTTTGTCTTCTCTTCAACTGCCAAGATAGCAGTTTTCCACATTTATTCGCCGACTCAAACGTTTTGTGTTTCATTAATTTAATCTTCCATTCAATTTCCTGATTTATCAATTTAGAATATTGTGTTTGATACAGTTTAATTTCTCTCAGAGTTGGCTGTGACTTTGGATTCACTCTTAATTTCTTCTCTAATTCTTTTATTTTATCCAAGATCTTGTCTTTTTCTCATTTTGTGTTTTTTTCCTTACTACATTCTGTTGTATCAAGAATCCCCTCATGACAGCTTTGCTTGCGTCCCAGACGATTCTTTTTCCACCGAATTATTCATGTTTATCTCGAAATAGTCTTTCAAAACTTTTTGGGCCTTCTTGGTAATTTCCTGATCTCTAAACAAATTGTCATTCATCTTCCATCTAAAGGATCCAGTTGGTAGTAGTGTCATATCCATCTTTACTGCGTTGTGGTCAGAGCAGGTCTTTGGGCAGATTTCCACTTTTCTAACCCTAGGTGCCAGGCCTCTAGAAATCCATATTTGGTCGATTCTTGTCCAGGTCAGTTGGGCTTCAGAAAAGAATGTTCCTTCTCTACCTAGTGGGTTCTTTGTTCTCCAAATGTCAATCAAGTCCATATTGTCAGTCATTTCAAAAAGGTTTTAGGTAGTCTGCCATCTTTTGTGACATTTTGACTTTGCGACTTGTCCATGTTAGTTGATACGACCCCGTTCATGTCTCCCATCATTATGATGTTGTTGTAATCCAGATGATCCAGCATTGTCCCCTGCAACTTCTTGTAAAATTCCGATTTCCCTTCATTGGGTGCATAGATTCCTAATATCAGCAGTTTCTCTCCTTGATATTGTATCTCAATAGCCAAAATCCTTCCATGTTCATCTTTAAATAGAAATTTAGGTGACAGGCTCTCTTTTGCATATATCACCACTCCTCTCTTCTTCACTTTGTCCGACGAAATAAATTCCTGGCCCAATCTTTTATTTATTAGCACTTTTCTGTGGAGCCTCGTCACATGTGTTTCTTGTAAACAGATAATGTCCAATTGTTCTTTTTTAATATATGAAATATTTTCTTCCTTTTCTCCGGAATGTTACAACCATTAATGTTCCAGCTCAACAGTTGCAGAGACATCCTGGATCTGTCTGGTTATTTCTCCCGGGGTGGTGTCTTCTCTGGATCTTCAAGTTCCCCAGGTGCAGGTATTAATGCTGGCTTTGCCCCAGGCCCGGAAGGTAGTTCAATTCCTTTTTGTAGGTCCTCTCCGTATGTAGCCAGAAATTTATCTCTCTCTTCCAATGTTCTAATTTTGACCTTTCTCGCTCTAAAGGTAAAAGATAATCCTTGGGGAAATTCCCACCTGAATGGAATTGCGTTGCTCCTTAATAATTTAGCAAGTTCAGAGTAGGCGGCTCTGAGATCCAACAGTTGTCTTGGAATATCTTTATATATCTCAATTCTTCTATCCAAAACCTCCAGTGACTTTTCGTAATGTAGACCCAAAATCTTATCCCTTTCCTCCTTCGATCTCAATGTAATCAAACAATCCCTGGGCCTCTCCTTCTTTATAAATCTTCCAAGTCTGAAAGCTGACACAATTTTAAAGTCCTTTTCTTCCAAATTCCAGAACTTGGAAAGTTCTTTGGTCAAAAACTCAGTTAGATTTCCTTCTTCTGCCTCTTGTAATGATCTAATCCTCAAATTATTCTCACGATTTCGCAGTTCTATCATAGAAAGATAAGTCTGATGTTCCCCAACTTGTTTAGTGAGTGGTCTTACCTCTTGCTCTAAATTTTCCAATTTTTGTCTGGTATCCTCAGCCAATTTTCGGTTTTCTACTGAGGCCTCCGTTAACTGTCCAATTGCTTGTGTATTCTGTCCCACCTGTGTAGTTAATTTGTTTAGACAATCTGTATTTTTATCAATCTTTGCTGATTGCGCATCTACTTTCTTGTCCAAAGCTTCCAATTTTTCAAAGATTTTTCTAGAACAGAAACAGATGCTCCTGAGGCCATATCTTCCAATTGTAACTGCTCTGCTTCACCCTCTCCCTCTTTTGCCTGTGGCAAAGCAGCTTCTTCAAGTTGTACTTCTGAGGGCAAAGTAGGCACAGATGATCTACGTGTCTGCGAGGCTGAGGTTAGAGTTGTTAAAGTTGTTTGTCTGACTCTTCCTCTTCTTCTTGTACCACTCATTCCAATGTTATCTATCAGTCAAGGTCACACTGAGTTTTCCCACAGGAATAGAAAGGCCCAGAGCAAGCAAACAACAAGGGAATCGAAAGTAAATGTATTTGTAAAGTCACTGTTTTAATCCAATCCTCTAGAGGGAGCTTAAGATGTCTTTCAGAGTCTGATTTAATGTCCCAGAACCTTCCAATATAAGTATTAAGCAGAGTTTAAAAGTAATCACTTTGTTGCAGACAGTGCTTATTTGTCTCCAGAAAGAATGTTTCAAATTTAAAAGGTCTCAATACCCTCAGATTGTTGCAAATTCTAATATACAGTATCCAAATCAACACTGACAGCTCACTCTTACAGTGCTCAAGCAGTCCTGACTCTGGGTTTCACCTTCCAATTTGTAATCCAATAAAAAGGGGGAAAGTCAAGTGCAAATACAAAGTCCAAATCTTTAGCTTACTAGTTTTACTTTAAATTGTAAGTTCCATAGGTGCTTGGCTGTGTAGAGTTTAAAATCTCTTTCTTTCAGCCTCCACTCCTCCGCCTTAGTTGCTTTTTTTTCAAGTTCAATGGCTGCGGAAGACGGACTTCCTGTTTCCACGTCTCTCCGCTTTCAGCCAAGTTCAAGCCGAATTAAACCTTCTCATTTAAAATTTGTAATTCCAAGTGATTCAGTCTTTACTCACGAATAAGTTGTTTTTCTTCCAAGTCCGAATTTTGACAGGAAAAGGGATCAGCGCTCACCGGCAGCAGCAGCGCGGCTTCACTCCGCTGACTGTGAAACGGCTCTCAGCACCGCAACCCCCCTCCACGCTCCGGAGCCCCTTACGAGGCTCCTTCTGCAGTTGGAGGGCTGCTCGTGGCGCCCGCCGAGCCTCAGGACCCCAGGCTCTTGCTGCCTGGGGTTTTCCTCGTTGGGTCTCCGCTTCGCCGTAGCGGACGACCCGATTTCAGCGGAGCCTCCTCTCCCGTCGGGAGAAGACCGCCATTGCCGTTCGCGCCGCCCCCCGGAAGCCTACTTTCCAGTCATGATTAAGGCTGCTAACAACACTTACTAGGGAGTAAGCTCCATTGAACATAACAGGACTTACTTTCAAGTAATCATGCACACGACTGCAATAGACGATGACATATGAAGCCAGTTTGAGAAATCTAACAGGAATTGATTTATATTCCCTGCTTAACCTTTGCTTTGTAAAGTTCCAGGAACACTTTCATTGTAATCCCAACAAAACCCCTCATTACAGAAGGCTATGAACAATGCCGAATGCCTTCACACCTGTCAGTCAACCCTTTCATACACAATCAGAGATCAGCATTGGAAAGGTTACGATCTGATCTTGAAAATGGTTTCTCTTTGCCATTTAAGCTGCTACAGGTATATTGACTTCAGCACAGATTTTGAGACTTCAATTAAAATAGCCTTATAGCATTTTGACAATCCACTTCTGGCACCTTCTGTGCTGGGTGTTGTATTTAACCAGCCTTAAAGGGCTAGGCAAGTTATTTAAATGGATGAGGCATATTGATATTGTAATCTGTGTGGGGGAAAATAAAATTCTTTATGAAAATAATGGTAGTTGTGAAAGCCCCGTTTGTCAATGCTACCAGTACTATCTAGATATCTATTTCTATATCTATGTCCACACACACACACACACACACACATTCAGTTCAAACTGGTTTTATAACTAGAAATCTTAAGACAGGAAGTTTTTAATGTTTTGATTTATTTTATTATATGTGCTGGAAGCCTCCTAGGGTGGCTGGAGAAACCCTGCCAGATGGGTGGGATATTATTATTATTATTATCATTATTATTATTATTAGTCTGCTGCAGTTCTAAACCAATTTAACAGAGCAGGGTGGGGAACCTTTTTAGAAGTGAAGGTCATGTTCCCTTCTGGGCAACCTTTTCAGAACCACATGGCAGTGCCCCTGATCCAACAGACTCCTATTATGTTATTTCATTCTTAATAGGACTAATGGGCTTTGGGGCAGCAAGTAACCCCTGAGAGATGCTAGTAGACCATTTCCTTGGAGCATGTTGGGGCCTATCATCACATTGAGAAGGTCCCTTCTCCACTTTCCTCTTCTCATTTTCTATGGTCAAACATTTCTCCACTTCCCTCCCCCTGCTTGCAGAGGCTTGCTCCTGTCACCTGAGCATTGCGGCCATGCTAGCCTAGCAAGTGAAATGAGAGGGAAAGAGGTTCAGAGAATGGGGTAAGAGGGCAGTGTAGTGAGCTGATCCCTATTTGGATCAGCTTGAAATAGGCCAAGCAGTTTCCCAATTTTAAGCAGTTAGGCTAATTTCCAAGGTGGAACTTGTCAATCACTCATCTTAATCATGTTTGTTCAGCATTTTTGTGCAACATTTCTCCTGGTATGTATGTTTTTGTATGCAAATCTGCTAATATATGCATTTTGGCGAGCCATTTCCCTTAATGTAATGCAGTTTGTATGTTATTTTCACAAATATGTGCAACTTTATGCACCTTTCTCCGAATATGTGTGATTTTGCAACAAAAATTTCATCGCAAAATTCAGAGAAGTGTGGATTTCAAAGCATAGCTGTGTTTCAGTTTTGTGAATTGTTTCTGTAAGTGCAAATTAGATAGATTTGCAATGAAATGTGAACATAAACAACTTTCCCCTCCCATTCCTAGCATGGCACACCTGTGAATTAACACATCGCGTGGTGATAGAGGATGCATTCATAGTATAATACACCTGCTTATGCTGATTTTTTAGTATATTTTTGAGTATAGGCTATGTTCATGTAGCCACTTCTTAACACAGTAGTGTATCAGAACAACACAGAGACTGCTCTAACAGCCACCATGCAGGCAAACCATCCAGTCCAGAGCAATCCAAACCTTTTCCCTTCCAAACAGACCACAGCAAGCAATATAGGCCTAATTTATTCATTGCACTGAAACCAAAAAGCAGATTATTTATTCACAAGATACCACACAAAATTTATTAGCACAGCTGTTGCTGCTTGCACAAAGAATTACAAATGAACATGATGGGCAATAAATTTAAATTAAAAATGATTGGTAATGCAAATTTTAATGACTGCAGATATAGGGCTATGTAAAGTCATGACATTGTTTTGTGTCTCTACTCTAGAGTGAGCTTGGTGTGTCACCAAATGCCCTTATGTACAAAAATAGCATTAAGCCATGACTTGCATATTTATCACTGATATACTTGGTCTAGGAACATTTGTATTCTTGATGACACTTCTGAACCTAGCGTTCAGAGTGCTAAGATAAGTGTTGGCCCTCATCCATTCCAAAAACAGGTGACAAAATTTCCTTAATTTTACTTGCATGTGTGTGCACATATGTTGATAACATATGTATTTCTGACAGATTAAATGAAGGGTTGCTAAACATCTTTCAGGCTAGGGGGAACATTCATGTTTAGCCAGCACACCAAGAGTCACATGCTGCTTGCACTGTGTGAAAACTCACCACATATACAGCACACACAAACCTACACATGCACACTATACATACCTACACACAATGTGCACGTGCACACACAACACTCATTTGCATATGCAGGCACACGGCAATCTCTCCTTCTGACAAACATATACACAGAGAACAAATTCTCTCACACACATAAAAAGCACACTCTCTCTGACACCACACACAATCTCTCTCTCATTCATGCATACTCATGCAGTCACACAACTCTTTCCTCTTCCCCTTTCTTGCTCACATATATAAATACATATGCAAATACACAGCACATATAAATGCATTCACACATGTACAGAGGAATACACTAAAGGTAAAAGTAAAGGGACCCCTGACCATTAGCTCCAGTCGTGACCGACTCTGGGGTTGCGGCGCTCATCTCGCTTTATTGGCTGAGGGAGCAGGTGTACAGCTTCCAGGTCATGTGGCCAGCATGACTAAGCCGCTTCTGGCAAACCAGAGCAGCACACGGAAACACCATTTACCTTCCCGCCGGAGCAGTACCTATTTATCTACTTGCACTATGACGTGCTTTCGAACTGCTAGGTTGGCAGCAGCAGGGACCAAGCAACGGGAGCTCACCCCGTCGTGGGGATTCAAACCGCCAACCTTCTGATCGGCAAGCCCTAGGCTCTGTGGTTTAACCCACAGTGCCACCTGCGTCCCTTGAGGAACACACTACCCCTGATCTAATGCAATAGATTAAAAACAGCCCATCACAGGAAAAACAAACCCAGCCCATCACAGGACTGATCTACATTGCCAGGTTTCAACATCTCATCTTGTTGGGAACATCATCTCATCACAGCACTGCCCTGAGTGGAGAGGCTGAAACTCCTCCACTCAGTGCTGCAGTGGAAAAATCTCAATGCTGACAAGGTGTCTGATTTTCCTTAGGCTGGCCAACCACTTGTAGTGGCTTGGTGGATCAGATCTGGCCCACAAGTTACAGGTTCACCCTCCCATCACGGCTTTCCCAAAGAATCCTGGGAACTGTTGTTTGATGTTTGGTGCCAGGAGTTGTTAGGAACCTCCTATTTCCTCACAGAACTACGATTCTCAGAGTGGCTTAACAATCCCTCTTCTCGAGAACTCTGAAAATTGTAACTCTGTGAGGGAAAAGGGGTTTTCCAACAACTCTCAACCCCCTTATCAAACTTCCGTTTCCAAATTCTTTGGGTGAAGCCATGACAGTTTAAAGTGGTATGATGATGCTTTAAATCATTAGTGCAGATGAGGCTTGTGTCTGGTTTTTATTGGGCTTCCTGGATTCTGATTCATTTGAAGAAAGGTTATGTGACAACGAGTGTTCATCCTGATTTGTTTGTGCAGAAGGCCCATATACCTTCTTGTTAATTTTCATTCACCTCATACATTCCATTGCATTTCCCAGTCACTTTCCTGACGACAAAAGTCAGTTGCTTTCTTATCTTGGATTTTTTGCACTAGAATAACACAGCATTTTAATCCACTTTAATTGTGCAAACCTGAACTTCCCAATAAGTGCTTCAATAACTTCCACAAAATACTGACCGTGTGAAGGCAACCTTAGATACGGCTTTAAAATGCTTTTATTTATACAGGCCTACCCTGCCACATGGGCCAGTTTTATGTTCTTCTGATATTTGCCTTTCTATGTTTTCACCTTTGATTTTATGCTGATTTTATGTAAAAACTGCTGTGAGGTTTTGTTGTTGTTGTTGTTATTGTTATTATTTCTCAGTAAGTATGGAAATATATAAATAAATAAGCACTTGGAAATTCCAATAAGTGTTTTCAAAGTAAGTTCATAATTGTTATTATCATAGATCGGCAAGCATATGTATGACTGAAAGATGTAAAGTTATGATGTAAAGATATACTTGTGAGTAATAAAGGATAACCTATTAAAAAAGAAAGAAAGAAAATTCCAATAAGTGGAAGCAGAGCAGATAGTATTAGAAGAATATAAAGACATACAACCATAATGGCACTAAAAATTTGACACATATGTGCCTTCTCATAGATTAGGTAAAGGTAAAGGTACCCCTGCCCGTACGGGCCAGTTGTGACCGACTCTGGGGTTGCGTGCCCATCTCGCTTAAGAGGCCAGGGGCCAGCGCTATCCGGAGACACTTCTGGGTCACGTGGCCAGCGTGACGAATCTGCTCTGGCAAGCCTGCACCAGCGCAGCACACGGAAACGCCGTTTACCTTCCCGCTATAAAGCAGTACCTATTTATCTACTTGCACTTAAGAGTGCTTTCGAACTGCTAGGTGGGCAGGAGCTGGGACTGAACGACAGGAGCTCACCCTGCCGCAGGGATTCGAACCGCCGACCATACGATCGGCAAGTCCTAGGCGCTGAGGTTTTACCCACAGCGCCACCCGCGTCCCCTCTCATAGATTGCTACTATTAAGATTTGAGTAGCCCACAAAAGGGAAGGAAATTTTACTGTGTGTGTGTGTGTGTGTGTGTGTGTGTGTGTGTGTGTAAAAGCAAAGTGAAAACTTGGTTACACACATATGCACTGCACACACATT